GTATTTCCAACGAAACTATTGAATAATTATACGATTTTTCTTTATTTATTTAAATGATTTTGTTTTTACTAGCTAACCCCAGGGATTTATGAGCTTAAGTATACTATCATAAAAAGTTACCGGCTGTGTAATCGTCATCGGCAGCGTTGCTGTTGGTTGCTGCTCGCTTCATTTCCAGGTCTGGTCTCGCGACGCTCCTCACATCCGTCAGATAATACTCACGGGCGAGTTGGGCGTATGATTCGTGAACGCTGTAGTTCTTGTACACGTACAAGAAGTTCTTCAGCACTACTTTGTTCTGCGCGAACCCGTCCAACGAATATCCCTGAGCCATGAAAATACTTTTATATTAAAAAAAGTTTTATAAAATTGTCTTCGGGACAATAATTGCAGCAGGAAATATTAAATGTGCTACAGTAACAAAACGATTATTTTATTTTAATGTCGAAGATTTTCATTTAATCTCAATCCTTTATTATAAAATACAAACATAAAATATTGTGAACACGTTGTCTACTATCCTATCAGACTTTATCTCAGGACTGATACTATAAGGGAAACATGGATAAATTCTTGGAATAAAATAATTAGACCATGTTTTAGTCTATAATATTTTAGTCTTGTCGAGCTGTGCAGCACACCATAACTACCTATACGATTTAGAACTCTGATATAGTCCAGGGGATCTCAAATTTTTTTTCTCGTATACCTCCCATGTGTACTAGGAATCAATCATGTTCCACTAATGACTAAAACTAGTTAACTATTCAGAATTCCGGTACATTTTACATTATTTAGTATTAACTGAAAACTTAAAGTAATATAAGATACGTTAGGTATATACATTATAGTAAGAATATTTATTCATTATTTTTCCATACTACAGCCCGTGGCCTTTCGCTTACCACAGTTTGAGCACCTCAGCTTTTTGCTGATATACCATACAATATTATAATTGTATAGGTATACACTTTTATTGTCCTCATAACTATTTATAGACAGGTATTGTTATTTAGCTGTAGGTACCTACCCATATTTTGTGCCTTATGTGATGATTTACTTATTATTTACCTATCACGACGTGTTGTTGGATGTGTTCAGTATTAACTTTAAGATGTCTACATACCTTGATGGTCGTGAGCACTTCTTTGTAGGAATTCTTGTCTGGTAGCTCACCGCCCATGGTCGCCACAAGTTCACTCTTGGTTTCCGAGTCAGCTCCCTCAGCTGCTAGTGCCAAAATCACTGAACTCGCGAACGGGGACACCACATAATTGAAATTATCATCAGATGTGGCCTGCAAAGAGTTAAGTCAAATTTATAAAACCGTTTTTGTTTTCTCTAATACTGCCTGGGTTCAATAGGTGTGGTATACCTGGTATACGGGGCGTTTCAACAAGCATGTTTCCCCCCATGTTATCCTTTAATAATAAATTTATTCAAATTCTGAGTTTTGAAATTTTAAAATACACTTAAAACCATATTTTAAAATTCTTAAGATTATTCTTACTACTTAAGAAGTGTGCTTTAATGATACAAAGTTCTGTTTTCAAATAAGAACAAATAAGTCATTGGAAATTTTGATGAACCTAATTCAAAGTTTAAACTAGTAAACTAGTAGTTTCTCAGTGATTAAAATGGTTGCACTTTGTACTAAATGTAAGGTATATGTTAGATGGTAGATCTAGTGTTTATTATACATAAATTATTTTTAAAAATTATAAATGTTGACAAATTAATACTAATTACTACAATTTTCAAATCATCACAGCCCGCCTAGTCTCCAGTATCTTCCAAATCTATTATCATAGACCTGCTGTTATCCTTCGGATACAACATGAAATAACTCAAAAACTACTAGTTCGAATTGTAATTTTGAATCTACGAAGATATTTTCAGAAAAATTATTCGCTATAAACGATACAACGTAGAAAAGAGGGGTTCTGATTTGAAAAACAGAAGTTTGTTGACCTCCGTAGGATTCCAACAAATCTTAAGAATTTTAAAATGTGAAAATTCCGAAAATTGGATTTTTAAATAACTGCTCATTGCATTATCCAAAAAACAATGGGGTGATCATGCTTGGTGAATATACATATTATTGAAAGAGTGGAACATAGAATTGAGGTGATACATTTTGATTCTATTAAAGAAGAATGACTTCTCGCGTATACTGCGTTCTGCAGATCAACATACCTTCAGCAGAATATCGGTCATGATTTCCGTGGTTTTTGATATGTCATTTTCCGGTAGCAGTTGACCGGAAACAGTGATGGCCATCACACACAGGCCGATGGTGGCGGCGGCCAACGAGACGCGGACGGCAGACGTCATATTATTACTATTGTTGGACAAAGTTGTGCTATTCGCAGATACAGCTAACTGTGCATAAACGTAGCAAAACTGTGATGTTGTTTCGACGAGAACGAGACCGAGATCAATGATCTTTTTCTATCGGTATGGAAAAACGAAAACAAAAAACGGAATAATAATAATAAACGACTATGTACCTACCTAAACCGGTCGAACTTCATTATACATTCACGCGAAAAGACTATAGGTATAGATTCACATATATATTTATCAAATATGCGGTTTAAAGTACCTCCGAGCATATATATATATATATAAATATATTATATTATAGTATGTACGCTCGACGTATTTGAATATTAATATAATGCCACGGCTGCGGCGTTGACAACCGTGCCCAGTAGGAGTCTTTTATACTAATATCGTTATTATAATTATAATCTTATGTGCGCCCAGAAAAGGAACTATTTTTTTCGCAAGCGTGAGTACCTATTATGTTATTTCCAGTAGAAAGTCTGGTATATTATTTGATTCGAAAGCGCTCTCGTGTCGACGATATTACAATACTGCAGAATAATAACCTTACAGGGTCTCGTATTACTTTTATGTTGAGACATACATTATTGTAACAATATTAACAAGTACACTTCGTATGCATATATTAGGGAGGAGGGGGCTCGTCATCACAATTCTGGATGCGGTCTAAAGCGCTATTTAAAATTTGCAAATGTTCGTAATTTAGAGAATTTTTGTCAATATTTGGACTTAAACGCTTATAAACAAAATGTGCCCACGAAATTAATTTCAAAATTATGGAAAAAGTTATATTTACTTAGTATATGGCTTATTTGACGAGGACTTGTTTTGGGGACATTGCAGAATTTAGAAAAATACTATTAAAGCTTCCCACTATTTACGTCAATGAATTAACATGGCTTAAATTCTGGAGAAATAAACGCTAGTTCTCGAATTAAAATAATAATGGTGGTAAAAATTTGAAATTTACATGTAAATTAAATAAATAATATTAAGGAGTAAACACTAAGTTAAAGATTAAACTTGCTGATGAACACTAGGACTTTCCTCCACATCGTCAGTTGCGATAACCTAATTCAATAAAATTAAAAAATTTTTAATCTTTTAATTCATGTACATTATTATATGAGCTATCGAAAAAAATAATAGGACACCTTAGTTATTTTACTAAATTCATTAAAATTGCGCCTCTGTCCGCTTCTCGCAAACATTTTCTCTGATAGACTCATCTTTTCAACTATATACCTATACAGCAGGTAGAAGTACAAGTTGAATCCAATAATAAAAAAGCTGCCTGTGTACCCACCTCATCTCCAGTAATTTAGTATTTTGTATAGCCACACATTAAAACATATGCATTTAGAACAAATATATTATTTATTCGGCTAATATCAAATTTAAAATTGAATTAAAATCAAATTCGTATGTATTGTCTTATCACAGAAATTATTTTAAATAATATTTATATTGTACTTTGCATAACTGTAAGACACCAAAAAACCATCTAAAGAAAAATGAAATAATACAATTCGGGAAGTCACATAAGTATGAAGAAATGTATTAAATTATATTATATACAAGCGGCACTACTGAGATTGCCTTCCCGCCACAAATGACCAAAAATGCTTATTGTGAATAAATCGTTATTTTTTATAAAAAAAAAAAATTATGCTCACTATATATACCACCGAAATAAGTGTAAAATTAAAATATGTATACTGCAACCAATGTGTAGGCACCTACATACGATGAATGTGTACATTATACATATATATAATCAATATTTATATTGACTAGTAAAGCATTTCGGCACCCGTATTTAAATATTTTTATAGCGTTTAGAATATTTTTAAAGCTTTTTAACTAAGTATATTTGGAAAGTATTTTCAATACTGCCTTGGCCATATTTATATTTGAAAATCAATTACTTTTCAAGATTAAAAGGAATTATTCGTCGCATTATTTGATAATAAGCTAAAATACAATTATTAAACATTTATTTGAATAGGTATTCATATATTTTATATTTCATTGACAACTTTCTATTGATTAATTAATATCATAATATAGGAAATATTTATCAGAATTGATATGTAAATGTTTTTCATTTTCAGTTCAAAATAAAGTAGGTAGATAGTACAAATTTCTAAATTCTAATGATACTTATGTATGAGACTACAGTTTCAAATATGTAATTAATAATTACTTATCAAAAATTATTTTGTTTACTTATCTATTTGTAAAATTAAAAAGTATTTAAATTCATGCCAAGTATTTGTATTTGTTCTTAAATACTTTTTATGAAAGGTATTTGAAATATATTTGAAATACTTTCTGAATGTACGTATTTATACCTTCATTTAAATACAGTATTAAAAGTAGTTTTTACAATATTGCCAATATGACATATGATTATATGACATACGTCACTATATTGCTACTCAATTTGTGCGACCATTTAAGTGTTTAACTTACATTCTAATATTACAATGCCCTCAAAGGTTCAAATTAAAGTTAAATCAAATTCTATATATGCCTGTAAGTGCATATTGTAAAATTCTGAATAAGATGTAAGCCTTCATAAATTATGAAATAATCACCTATTTATTTATTCATATTCATCATAACATTTATAATATAGATATCTACAATGTAACAAAAATATAATTTCTAGTGTTTATATAAAAAATGTATCATATTTATAAAACAAAAATCTGATTTGATATTTTTCGTGTTCGGTCCTATGTCGGTAGTAAAAAAGTTTATAATATAATTCATTATATATAATATCGTACTGAGCTAAAATAAAGAAATATACTTATTAGTAAGTTTATTATAACATTATAATACATAAATATTATTATGTATGTGTATTGAAAATATATTGAGTTGCCTGTATGTTCATCACGTGACAGCGCGCGGCGTTTTGACCGACTAACACATTATTAATTATCATAACAATATATTATTATTATTGCAACGATCTGAAGTAGTATGCTTTGAGATGTCACATGTTTTGTAGTTAGCGAGAAAATCTTCACCGTTGGGCTGAATTTTTAGTGGATCGTCTTCGTCCAGTTCCGCCTCCAAATTGTCGATGTCATCCTACACATAAGACAACACCATCAAATATTATAAATACCTACAACTATAGTCTCAAATATGTAAGAAAATTTTAAATTCGGGTAAAAATTAGAAAATACACTTGGTTGCCCCTCCCCCCTGATGAAATTTCTAGTTACTCCCTTATAATATCTAAATTGCATTATCTTGTTTGTCGAGTCTTGTTTTTCCAGTAATATTCTATTTGTACTTTTCGATTTTTTTTATAGAACAAAACCTAAGTAGTTATTATAGTTATTGTACTTATTTCTTTTTTTTTTTTAACAAATAATCTTTACTAATTTTACTATAAGAATACTGGACTATTTTTTACCCACTGACTTAAAAACAACTAATTTTTTTTAGGACTTTTTACTTTTTACCTTGATTTGCGTCAGTTAGTCAATTGTTTGAATTATCTAAAAGTAATCTTGCGGATCCCCGTCTCAAGTCAATCGAAAATTTCTCTCGAAACTACTTTCTAATTCTTCACTGATTCCCCTTCTTCACCAGCCTTAAGTCAGCTTTCGAGCTTCAAACGTCCAATCAGAAACACTTCTCAATTTTAATATCCCTCTATCATTCACTTACTATATCTATCCAATTCTCCGTTTACCCGTCTATATATTGATGCTTGTCAATGAAGGCCCATATTTTTCACATTAACCAATGAACTTACATCTATCCATTGTTTCTCCTTTTTTGTTTTTGTTATGGACTTAATATTATTTGAGACATGGGCTGGCCTTGTTTTCATGCCACCGAGAAAAATAAATAAGTACACACATAGCTACAAATGAGGTTTAACTTTGCCTAGATAATTATATTTTTAATTTAAAATTAAATTCGATTTCATCACGATTATTATAAATGTATGAATATTGTAATCCCCCTCTCCCATCGCAAAAATCCTAAGCTTCTACCTTAACTGTACGTAAATCTATTATATTATATAATTATTATAACATTAATATGTACGTCATCTTCGTCGGAATTACTGCTGTCATCCTCATCTTCACCACTGTCGTCGTTGTAATAATCGTATTCGTCTTCTGACGACGACTGATCGAAAGCCGGATGCTCATTTTGCAACAACATGTTCCTCACGTCTACTAATCGCTCGATCGCTGAAGGGTAGGCGTTGATATTTCTCTCGATCGTTTTTTCAACGACGCCAGTCATCCCTTCTTCTATGGCTACCGCCATCATCTCCGGGTTTTTGAACATATTGTACAATACGCCAGATATGCACGGCATGATCTAAACACCAATGAAAAGTGTGTACAATATTCGATTAAGTAGATAAGTACAACCCTCAACACGTATGTTAAGTTAGCCTCATTTCTTCCTACTTTGTTCAAATTGCACTGGAAATTAATACTGTAAGTTTAAGTCTCAATTTGGAAGTAATTATAGGTTAGCTCTTCCTCGAGAGCTTTAAATCGATAAACTCACGAATTTATAAAGCCAACTTAATCAATATAACGTAAAAATTTGTCTGATATAATTTGAAAATTTGATAGAGGAGGGGGGGGGGTGCGTTATTTCACACACATCAACTGAACGACCCATACTTAATATTAATATAATAATATGAACACACGGCGTTATGGATAGGCTTTTTAGGTACATAACTGCTATAATGTAGTCCGTTTTCCGGCATCTCATATAATATAACGTTTTAAAATAATTAAAACTTAGACATGAAAAAAAAAATGTGTCGAAAAGTTTTAAAAATACATTTTCTTGCCTTAGTGTTATTACTTTTAAGATGCATTAAAAAATTAAAACATTAAATTAAATATATCATGTATATAGGTGCTAAATAATTTAAGTATATGGCCTATAGGTTATCGCTAAGACCTTATAGTATGTTAATAGTTGTCGGTAAATTAGTAAACCTACGTGACTTGACGTTGAGTACAAGACGTACTTGTGTAATAATTGATGATAAATGTTATTTTAAGCATCATACGTTAAATTTAAATGCAATCGTACTCATGGCATTTCACCGATAATAAAAAACTGCCGTTTGTACTAAAAAAAATGTACAAACGTAGAATACCTGATAAATAATTTTTTCTGCTTCAAAATATTGGCTCTATACACACTCATGTCATACGAATAATAAAAGTAGTTTTATTTTTTATTGGTTCTCGTGTCGTATATATTTTTTTCACTTACATCCACGTCCAACGTCGTCATGAAAACTCCCAAGCTCTTGAACAGGTTGCGGGAACGCGAGCCACAAGCTCTGACGGCCGCCTGGCACTGGCAAAGGTTCATAAACAGCCCTAGACTATATTCCAGATCGTACATCTCGTATTTGTTTCGATCTCCGGTGAATTCGCTTTTACGAACGAGCTGGTCGGCCAGCCAAGTGGTCAGACCGTTTCCAATCATCCGCTTTCGTGCTCGAGATCTTTAACACCATAAAAATGTTACAATATTGCGCTCAAGAAACGCAGTAAACTATAGTTAACGCCCACCATTACACGGCACTTAAAACTATTACCATAACTATGGCGGAAGAGGTGAATTTTAAATTTTGTAAACACCCTAAGTGTTTCTTTAAAAAATAAATATATTTTTATTTTTCGTTAGTTACAAATGATGTTTTTATGATCTACAACCACTAGATGTCTTAAAGGAGAACACCTGTGTACGGAAAGTATTTTTAATACTAAAACAAAAACTAAACACTACACTGAAATTCTGTTTCTTCTTTCGATTGTTTACACAAACGATTTTTAATCATCTTTTCTCAAATAGATTAAGGATCAAAAATATTATTTACCACATATAACTGAACGGAGAAAAATAATATGCTAATTGAGTCCAAGGATTATTTAAAGTAAAATAATAATCAACCACATTATAGTGACATACGAAGACAATTACGCAATATAAATTGTTTTGTAATTTTAAAAACAATAATGATATCATAACATTGTAGGTTGGGAATTTTGGTTTTTATTTGTCAGTCGATAGTTACAATTACAGATATTATATTATACACTCTAGCCTATAGTTTACGAAGTCCAACTAAATTATACATAATAATATATTACACACGCATTTTTTAAAATGAAATTTGTTAGCACACCTGCAGAATTTTTTATTAAAGAAGTCCATAAATATGTAAAGAAGGTGATTTTTTAAAAATTTTATATGACTCAGTTAATATGTATATAAACATGGACTCAATTTTATGTATTATGTTTGAAATTGCATGGAACTCAATTAGTATTTACCTAAAAACAATCAGGTACCTGGTACCTACCTTATTTGATCTAAAAGTTTTTATTGAGACCTAGTTCATAATATTATGTAGGCGTGTAAATTATTGTACTGGCAACTTGTACTACAGGTGTTAGATTGGCCAATTGTGGCGAGGTCGGCCCAATATGACTTCACCCATATCGTATTTTCATCTTTAACAATAATTTAAAGATACATTTTTTTGTGTTGTGTGTGCTCCTTTGATACATATTTTTAAAAGTAAATCAATTTACACCACTCTTCCCTATGGGTAAAACATACAGGAATTATGGATGAATTGATCAATATATTGTAAATATTATATAAATATAAGTATCGTAACTTACACTCTTACATCGAGAGTAATAATAATAAATTAATTGACAATTTAATTATAATATGTCTAACATATAGAATGCGATATGTGCAGACATACCATAAACGTGAAGTTGCCTCCCCCCCATGACCAATTTTTTTGAAAGTGATGTTATCATTTTGCAAATAATTTGCAAATATTTGCAATTGGTTTTCAGAGTTTGCAAATAAATTACCCACATGGTATGGAAAATATAAGATGGGGGGGGGGGGACTTCACGCTACACACCCTTTTGAGCTATGAATTGAAAAATGCTGCTAACATTTTGCAAATAGCCGCTACCTTATTTATAATTTCGAGTCCAAAATTCATACCTAGTCAACTATAGTAATAAGAGATGTTGTTTTTTTTCAATTGAAATCAATGTTTTAGATGTATCGACCTGACGTTTTATAATAAATGACGAGAACCATTTAACCACGAAACACGATCTCTAACATTAATAATTAAAAATTACTAAAGTAAATTTAAAATTAATACAATTTTAAGATCCGAAAAACATAATCAATTTATTAGCAAAACAAAATAGAAATTGTTATTAATTAATGTGAGCTCTTATTTGATGGCCACGAGCTTATAATATTCAATAATCTATGTTATGTTCCTACAAATATAGTGTAAAAAGAATTAATAAATAAATTTAAAATAATAAATTTTTAATTTATGTTTATTGTAATATTATCATGTATTAAGACATAAGGGTAAGAAACAATTATTTTATATTAAACTTATATTAAATAGTAGCCCGATATATTATGTAAAATATTTCTGTAAGTAGAATACTTCAATTGTGAATTACATAATATAATTTTAAATTATACTATAAACTATACCTACGTATAAACATCAATGATTGGTATGATTTTTAGACTCGAAATTATAAATAAGGTAGCGGCTATTTGCAAAATGTTAGCAGCATTTTTCAATTCATGGCTCAAGAGGGTGTAGCGTGAAGTTGCCCCCCCTCCCCATCTTATATTTTTCATACCACGTGGTTAATTAATTTTCAAACTCTGAAAACCAATTTGCAAATTATTTGTAGTATTTTGATACCGCTAGCTACATATAGGAGGGCTGCGTTAAGTTGGCCCCCTGTCTTATTTTTTTTATTCCTGGCAGGGAATTTATTTGCAAATTCTGAAAACCAATTTGCATATTATTTGTAAAATGTTAACATCACTTTCAAAAAAATTGGTCATGGCGGGGGAGGGGGGGCAACTTCACGCACATAGACATACCCCATACTCAGCTTCTGCAACGTTCCCAACAGCATGTTGCTCGTGATCGTGTCCCAAAAGTGTTGTGAAGATATGAGCTGAGATATGATTAGACGGAGTAAAAACGGAGAGCCTGCCAAATACCTGCGGCCTCTATTGAATGACGCCAGGGCATTCAGCAGTCTTGATATCATTTGTTGTAGCGGATGTGGCCCGTTTGTCATCATCAGCCATTTCATCAGTCCTTGTTCGGCTTTCGATTTGCACAAATCCAGTAAGTCGTATTTTTTTATCATCACTACCGTGTCAGTTCTGTTTTCCGATTTTGTCAACCTCTTCCAAAAAAATTCATAACAAAATTGGACGTTATCATAATGCTTAAGCGTAGATATTCGATCCTTGTAAATGTTTGATTTACAATAAAATATAAATTGATCATAATATTTGAGTATGTGTTAATAAAAAATAAAAATAATTTAAGTTGGGAAAGTTAAAAAAAAAAAATTAACCTGAGTTGATTAAGTTAAACCAATGTTAATAATAACATAAAGCAGCAAATTAATTATTAACAAACAATGCATTTCTTTAAAAACTTAAAGTTAAATACTATTTCAGGTTGAAAAGAAGCTAATTCATTTTATTTAATTATAACTTGGGCCACACATATTAAAGAGAATGTGCAATTTTCAATTTTTTTTAAATAATAACCAAATATTGCGTTTTATATTATATTATTGCAGAACTGGATTTAGGGCATTGCATGTATATTTATACGTGTCAATAAAACTATTAAATCAAGGAATAGTTGTTTATTTGTTTGTAAGTATTTAAAATTAAAAAAATAATCTCTGGTCAGGTGACACTACTGAGGGTCTTCCTATTCGAATATTTCATAATGTCATATAAACTTTGTCATCATACTTACTGATTATTGTAAAATAGATTGTAAATATATGTTAAAATAAAAAAAAAAAAAAAGTATTTAAAATTATTGAATATAATATAGTGATTAAACAAAAAAAAATTCAAATTAATTTTAAAAAACCAAGTTGTTACTAAGTAAGTACATAGGTACTTTATGAACTAACTAGTGTTATAATTAAGATACAGTTTTTTAGAAAATATAATGAATTACCTAGTAATATGACTAATAGATATAATACCTATAATACATTATAATATGGCTTCGTACTTACCCAACGCAAGGCTTGTAAGATAAGTAATTTGTTCTTGGTGCTGTTACCGTCCCGGAGTTCGAGTTTGATTTTAAAAATGGACAAATCGAATTGGTCGTCAGCAATTTCTAAATTTTTCTAAGATATATTATATCATCAAAAAGAAGAATAATAGGATAGAAATATAATGATGAGTAACTATTTAAAATTGTATATTATTGGTACATACAATAAAAAACAAAAACAACACTAACTTCACTGTTGTCGTTGTTTTCCACCACAGCATTACAATTTTTTAAAATAATTTCCAAATTAATCGACTGTCCCCGAATCGAATTTTCCAAAGCATTTAAAAGTTCAGCGGCCAAAGCTAATATAATAATAATAAATTACACACCGTTTTTCATCAAACTTTTGTTGATACAAAATGTAAAGGCGTAGTAGAATTTTAACAAACCATTCAGCGGTTTGTATTCCTTGTACAACGTTTTAAATTTTTTTTTTGTAAATTTTCGCTTTCCCGCTTCTTTGCTTGGTACTAATATAACCGATGTGCTAATAGCGATGTCCAAAATAAAGTCCTCCAATCTTTTTTTTAGCGAATCACACCATCGATTTTCCTTGAGAAGAACAAATGTTTAAAAACCATTCGAATTTTTTACGTTTTTGAAATACGCTGTAGTGCATAGTACTAATAATATACGATATACACTCATACTGTAATAAGTAAAAAATGTGTCGTACTTTGAACAAATTTTTAAACGAAGGGTGTTGCATCGGTTCGAACACGTATGGCAATGCAAAATACGGTAAAAATTCGTTTTCAGTACTGAACTCAGCACCTCTCTGGAGCAGAAAAGTGCGAAAAGCGGCCATCGAACTTTCGTCGTTCTCATCACATCTATCATCACTGCAGTTTTCCGATTTGTTGACACGTTTTTTACATTCCAGTATGGTGTAGTAGACGTGAAGGTAAAACGTCAGTTTTCGATACTCGTCGATCTGTTTTATCTCGTCGGCTAAATCACCCCATGTCTGAAAATATTGAATTATATATAACCACATTTTCATATAGCGTTATTATTTCAATAACTTTTCAAAAACATTTCATATTTAAAATAAAAACACAAATACATTTGAAAAGTATTTTGAATAGTTTAGGATAGGTACTTTTAATTTGTTGATTTTTATTACAAATTTACATATTATCGTCAAAAGAGCAATTATTCAAAAACCTTGGTCAAAATTGATGATAGTCGTGCATGGTTATATGGGTATATAGATATTCATTAATTGGAAAAAAACCACAATATTGAGGTGACCCAGTGGTCAGCTTGAGGGTGACGATTTAGGTGAATGACTCAACTCCACGACCTAATTATTTAGTTTCTATATAGAAATATACACCATATAATACTATTATATAGATAGAAGGGTATATAATATATGCACCTAGTGTATAATAGTATACCCCCCCCCCCCCAAAAAAAAAACGATGTCAGTATTTGACTAAGGTGACCGAAAGTCTAAGGTCAACGGAAGACAGTCAGAGGTCCATGCCGTAATAGAAAATAGTATAATATTCAATATGATCTTATTTGGATGATGTTTAAAGTTTTCAGCTTTATAATGATTATAGTGTTGATTTCTTAAAAAGAAATAAAAATGTTATTGTAGATTTATGATTAATATATTTTTTTAATTTTATAAACTATTATTTCGTGTATTTATTTTTATCTAATTTGCTTATACTGCTCTTAAATCGTAAATTGTAAATATTGACATTAAAAAAATTAACTGATAATTTTATAACTGTTAAGTAAATTATATTTTTTCTATTTAACTAGTAACTTTTACGAATTAAACAGAAAAAAAGTAACTTAAACATTAACTTACATTTTTTAATATCGACATAATAGTTAACTTACCCAGCCTTGCATTTTATTTTTATTATATTTTTATTGCATATTTTTACATATTTTAACAACTAAATTAAATCAATATTTCACTATTTTATATTACATGTACATATAAATCCTAGCCCAAGGTGGTGATAATAATTTTCACCTTCATAAACGTAAGCCTGGGCATTGATTTAACCTTTAGTGACGCACATGGTATCAGACCACACAATTGCACATAGTTGTTTGGGTATTTTTTTTTCGTTTAAATAATAATATTTTTTACAAAATTGCATTAATTACATACTAAGTGTTTTTTATTATATTAGAAATTATTAAAGAATTCTTGTTCTCAATATATGTAAGTATATTAATCGTTCCATATGAATTAATTAATTTTTAATTTTTGTATTAAGTAAACAAATAGAAAATTATATTTTGAAATTTTTATAGTTGTAGGTACAATATAAAAGTTATAAAAAATAACATTACTCAATGGAGCGTAGAATATTCACATAGTATTGATAGTCTATTAAAAATATAGATTAGAGTAACCACACGCGTCTCCAAAGGCTAAAACGGTACCTTAGCTATCACCGGCATCGAAATCATCTATTTCAACCATGCAGTATTATAAACTATATTTTATTCATTTTTGTACAATCTTCAAATATTTTAATCCACTCAGAGTACCAACTAGTTAGCTTTTTTACTAGAAAAGATATTGAAGTTGAAAATCTTAGCATTGTACTGCTCCAAGAGACGATGACAGACACAAAAAAGAGGAAGTAATATGGTGGGTTGAACTTTTTTTTCTGAATTATTTGCAAATGTCATAAAGGTTTCAATTCACTACTAATGATATGTTTGAGATTAAGGTACGAAAAGATAACGAAAATCATCATCCTTTGTTTAATATCTAATTTTATCCGAATCTGAACTTCCTGCAATGTCTGTAAAAAAAAATATTTTGAACTAAACTCTTTTGTTCACATAATTTTCAGATTTTATAGTTCCAGTATGAAGGAGTATATTATATAATTTAACAAAAAAATACTTTACTATTTGATATTGCATATAAATCATAACTCCTTAGGTAAGTAGTGATAACCGATAATAATATTATTACCTTCATAAACGTTGACCTAGACGCAGATTTAAAAGACTGAATAATGGTCGCAGCTCGATCTTTGGACAGGTGGACCGGATTGTTACTACAAGTTTCGGTCGATTCGGCAGCAACAGACGGTACTGGCATATTCAATTTGTGACATTCTTCGATGAAACAAGCCGAAGTCTTCGTCATGTTATTGGACAATAAGAACTGGAAAACAATCAAATGACGCACTTGGTCAATATTATATATAATAATAATAATAACAATGGCAATGTTATATTATAATATTCAATCGTTCAATGGCAGTGGCGTCCAGAGAGGATAGCAAATACTGCAACTGCATGTCCTCCCGAGAGGGGAGGGTGTAAATAACTTGAATTTTATAAATTTATAATATTAACTATTTAGTAAATTGAGTATAATTGTGGAATTCAGTAAGAATATTATTTTAAAATTCGGTAACTTTTTTTAACTGCATAAGCTGAAAAACTACCCTTGCGCGCTACTGGTTCAATCCCAATATGCACTAGTGAAAGTACTGTTGTTTTGGTCTTTAGTTTATTCTACCAGCTATTTACAGGGTGATTAACCCAGCTCTTTTTTCTTCAATAATGCAGTTATTTAAAATCAAAATGTTGGAAAAGTTATGCTTATAAAGACTTAATACTTTCCAATACTTGAGATTTTTTGTACTACTCAAATAGTGTCCTGTGGAGATACAAACTTCTTTTTTTCAAATGTGAATTCCTTTTTCTACCGTAAATTATTTGGTGTCAAATTTTTCTGAATATTTTGACGAATAAGAATTAATATTCAAACTAGTATTGTCATTATGATTCTATATTTATATATATATTTATAAATTACTTAATAATAATGTAGACTATCAAAAAATACTCTCGAAAATAAATTTAAATATTCCATCCCTTTACCTATAATAAATTTGAAATTAATCTTTTTCACAAATGGATTGATAGTTGATACCATTGTCAAAATTACATCTTTCATGCATTAATCATTTAATTTGTTTTTTTCGTGTCTGGGGATAATTTTTTTAGTAAAAAAATGCACCGGCCACCGACTATTTATGTTGGTTTCTGGTAGTACATTATTTGGTCTAGTTTGTCAAACTGGGTCATAAGTAAAAATTAAAAAAAAGCCATTATTATAATATATTATATAGTTTTATAACTTATTAATCAATACCGACATGGCAACATGCCATTAAACGGTGTAAGTAGGTAAGTTATATACTTATATGTATGACGTATGTTAATAGTTTAAAATTGAATTAAATTTTTTGAAAAATTCGTTCGTTGTATACTGTAAATCCATTAATATAAAATATGTAGTGGTAAAAATTGACTTCGACAACCCACTACTGATGAATCTCTAGCTTTTCGGGGAATCATCATAATAACAATAAAATTACTATTTTATATCATCCGCAGTACCTACCTATAGCTTATAGCTATTATCAATGCTTGCATTTAAAGAGGACGTAGGGAATGGAGTCCTTGATCTTTTAAAAACAATTTTGTGCATACTTATTCCTTCTAATTATATATTGATTAATAAAACATTTAAATATTCAGGGACGTGCATTTTTTTTTACACTTTTGAATCCCCCATCTGATTTTTCTCAATTCAAAAACTGACTATTATTACACCATCGCGTCGGGGCTAAGTGACTTTAATATTTTCTGCCACGCTCTTAATGAGTACTATAATTCGTCAAAAATTATTAAAACAATTATAATACTCTATTATTTATATGTATTATATTTTTTATGTAGGTACGTGCGGATTTTTATGATATAATAAATTAATACAATATGTATCAACACAATAATGACAACGAAAATATAATTATCCTTTCTTTATCTTCCCTTTCTCTATAAGCTCCTCTCATATTCTGTTGACTCCCCTTCTCTCCATGCACTAAGTAACCTGAGGGTTAACAGGAAGTTCAACTAACTTCTACATTTTTCATTCAGCATTGCACAAAAAATGTTATTAAATAAATGAGCGTAACATTCGTATGATGAAGTTATAGCCAATGATGATCCGTGATTTCTTCTTCAAAATCTAAGGTTCAATTAATCATCGTTCTATATTGTTTTTATTGCGTGTTGTTTTGTTATCTTATACCACTTTTGTTACTAGGGCTAATCCCCATTGGTATTAAATAAATAAATAGTATAATATATAGGTACGTACTTCATATATGTATTGCAATGTTTTCGCTTCACTCGTTGAATATTTTCTCAACCTTTCCATTGACAAGAGTATACAGGTAGATGGTATATTTTATCGGAATCAGATCGAGACAACTATTACTATACAAGCCACAAAGCGCACTAACTAGATATTGTGTTATTTCAAAATATTATGCGTTTGCATTCATACCTATAAACCTACCTTGGCATGTTGGTCAAGTTAAATCGATATTGTCGCCAATGGCACTCGTGTATACACAAAAGCTAAGCACCACCTACTTATATGTGTGCTGCAGTGCCATTCTTTTTTGAGAAACATGCTCTATATTTCTTATCCCATATTACTCAGGGGGTGAACTGGGCAGGGCTGTGTGACTTCCGGATGCCCCTTAAGTAATGGAATAAAGGTCAGTAGGTACAATATACAGACGAAACTAGACCGACATGTTAGGGAGCGTTAAAATTGTTGGTGCGTGCTGCGAATGCTCGCTTTTACATTTTTACCTATCCCAAATACAACACTATTGTGCACAAAAAAAAGTTTATGAATAGACGTTTGGATAGAAAAATTTAAAGCAACAATAACATATTAAAATAATACAATTCAAAATCACAAATAGGTATTTGGTTAAAATGTTAACATTTAGGTGGAGACGTCTTTTCATATTTAATTTAAAAATACTCCTATCAATAACTTAGATTTTTCTGATTATGTATTAGACAATTAAGTGAATCACGTATCCACTGATTAGGTTTTTCTACTAATTTTGTGGGCCGGTACACCTCCAGAGTCAGCTACGACCAATAGACCAGAATCGTTACACAGACATTATAACTGTCATCAGTCTTACAATAAACACTCTCTTCTATCGATTAATAGTATATTATTAATAAATAGTTGCAGTCAAGATAGTTTTGCATAAAGCTAGCTGATGTATAGGTACATTTCGAAAATCAATCACGAGGTCAGTTAAAAAGGAATACAATTTTTATTTTATTTTACTCTTCACATTCAACATAATATACATTTTAAACATACAATAATATATTATAATAATGATTCATAACGCATAACAATTACAATAATATAAAGTTAAATTGTATGAGACAACAATACACATAATATTATACTATGATATATCGTCTCGAATAAATCTATTCGAACGGTAGCGCGTATACACAACATATTGTAAATCGAGGACACAATGTATACACGTTTCTATTCGTCTTAATATTATATAATAATGAGCACATAAAACATCCTCGACGGATATCATAATATTATATAAAGTGTCTTCACGATCGACAATTAAAAACTATATGGCAGGTAAGAGTCAGATTTGATTTTTCTCCTCGAGGGAATGTATAGGCGCTGTCGCGATCAAACGCTATTGGGTCGTCTCAGTTTTCGGCCGTCTTCCCACTTTTTGACTCTTCTCAGAGGGTAGCAGATGACTGCCGACATGGTCAATATTATTCCGGACAAATAGAACGACATGTCGTAAGTTCCAGTCCAGTCTTTGAACAGCCCTGCGCGCACAAACATGTATAAAAGGTAAGGGTATTAATAATCGAGTATTTATTAGCAAATTAGATTGATATTAATTCAATGGCGTAATTGTGGGACTGGCCAACCTCCATTCTCAACATTTTTACGAGATTGAAAGGTATCGTTTTTCCTATTAGTTTCTGTCGATAGTGATTTACTGGTTTATTTAAATACAGCAGATTATTATTTAACAGAAAATCCAAGTTCAAGTGGGAGAAAAAATTCAAATTCTTAAAAATGTCGAGACATCAAAAACCAATTAAATATGATGGCATATTAGAAGAATTTTCATACTTCAGATACATTTGATAATTTCCATATAATATAATCATGATCTGAGTCCTTTGTTTTGTGAAAACCATTTGTTTTGACAAAAGCCTTTTGTCATTAGTGTCTATTATAGTAATAGATGACTTGGTTGGTATAGGTAACCTATATTGTTGATCATTTTTTATGAAAAATGGAATAGTTGATGTATTTGAAAACTAAGAATAAGTGAATAACTGCTGTAGCTTTTATGAAAAATTAAAACTAAATATCTGGGAAAAGGGGAAATAAGGGGCGAAATCTACACCTCTGCTGCATCTCAGAATTAAACCTATCCTGGACTGACCTAAGAAGATGGATGAGAACTTTTATTGTTAGCCACGTGAGCTCTCAACAATTTCTTGTCTATATGTTACAGAGTGTATTTATTGATAAGTTTGATTATATGACTGCACTTGCCCAAAAACGGAGATCCGACGGCAGCTGCAACTCCTTGGAACATCAACAAGACGCCGAAAGCGTTCGTAAGTAATTCGAGACCTGTCAGCTCGACTATCATGGTTGATCTCAAAGACGCAAAACAAGCTAAAAAAAAAATGTTTTTTAATTTTTATTTTCGTATTACTTAATAATCGAAGACTGCCAATATATTATATGGAGTTAAAAGTAAAATAAATATAATAATTAAATATGAGTATGAGAGTATTTTATAGTTCAAATTATCAATACCACATGGTAAACCGCATACACACATGCTCCAATACAAATCCTAAACAATTTTTTTTAGTTGCAGTGGCTTGGTAGAATTTACTTTCAAATTTATTCACGTAACGAATTCTTAACATACTAAAACGTGAATAAAAGTGCTTATAACAATAATATTATTCAAGTTCAATATTTCATAAACTTCAAAAACTACCAACGTATGCATGGTATATTCCTATTACCTATAAGTTATAACCTAAGTAGCCCATGACCTAGTATTAAGAATGTTAATGCAAAAAGCTATTATCTTTTCAATTCCAAAAAAAATGTTCATATGTATTTCAATATATATATTCATGATTTTAAAACAAAAATATTAATTCTGAGTAGAATTAAAGTAAACACAGAGAAAACGTAGGGACATCATAGTGAAAAAAAGCCCTAAAGTGCTAAAACTCTTAATCAGACCACGAATGGTGCTTAAAGTTTGAACGGGTGCCCTGAGGATAAACATGCCATGAAGTGCGCCCTGTTAGCAAGCAGTGTTGTGTTCAGATCATTTATATCATCTAGATATATGTACCTAGATAAGATATCTAAACTCAACAATTTTCTGAATATAGATAATAAAACATTACGAGATAAGTATATATAGATAAAAATTAGAAATCAGATATTTTTTTTACATCTTATAATCTTAAGAAATGATTGAGTCTCATATTTTTTTTTTGCTACCTATAAAACAGAAATTCTTAATGGATATTAGTTTAAGAAGATAGTAATAATAAATTATTATGGATAAAAGCGTTAAACAATTTAAATGATCATACAAGATGTCATACTGTATTTAGATGGCTATCACTTCCATCGTAAATAGAAGCTTATAGATGCCAATTTTGTAACTAATTTCGATAAGATCAGGATAAGGCAGGTATCTAGATAAATGCATTTAACTGTTGCACAATAACTGGGTGTATAAGTGATCGTAATTGATGTGCATAAAACCGCAGTGCTCACCCATAGAAAATCCGAACAGCGACGCGTACAAGTAGTATGAGAACACCGAGTAAGGGAGAAACGGCAGCAATACAGTGTAGAGACCTCCAAACGTGAGAGACACGTTGTTCACCAGGATCGGATCGATGGATTCATAACTGGATATCCAACCACAAATCACTCTCCCGAACGTGTTCGTCAGACCTGTCGTGGACACCAGCCATACTGCTACATTTTTGTCCATGCCCATACTGATGGCTTTTTCTGTAGAAAAATTGTCAATAGTCAAAATCAATAAATCGATACGAGTAGATACGTAAAAAATATTTGAGATTGGCCTTCACCAGCTCTAGTGGAATATCTTCCCACACATGCTTAGGAACACCGAAGCGGGCGTTTACAAATTATAATCATGTATGAAATTTTTAAAGTCTCGCAGAAATACAAATTAGTATAATTTAAAATTAATTTTACATAAATCATGACATAAAAGAAAACTGAAACTTAATCTAGGTAGGAAATAGATACAATGTGTTTGCAGACTCACTTTATACATATTAGTTTAATATTGATGATGGACATTTATGATTTATCATATCAGCCAAAAAAGATGGATACCTACATTTTTGTTTCGGGTGAAACTATAAAAATGCAATTTATAATTAACTGTAAAAATGTATTTTACTGTTTTATATTCATAAGGGTTGTATATTATGATTATATTTTTAATTATATTATAAAATCAATTGTGCTGTTTGAATAGTAAAATGGTTTGATTATTTTTAATTTTAATTAATTTTTTATGCTTGTATCGAATTGTAATTGAATATTTCAAACATTTAAAAATATATATTGGTACTTATACAGATGGAAGTACGTACGAACGGATATGTATGACTTTTAATTCGCTAAATTCAAAATTAAAATATATATATTATTTTTTTTTTTGGTAATTGATGGTACATCTCGTGGATTTGCATTTATTTATATATACTATGTAGGTATGCGGTATAAGCATAATATAAGGTGACTTTTAATTACCGCTAATGTACATGAACGGAACAAAGAATCCCAACAACGTCAAAAAACCGCTGCACGTCAACACGAAAAAGGACGGAGAGGACAGAATGGAAAAGTCCAACATCGTCGTGAGCGTGTGCATAGCTGATTTGTAATACTTCTTCATGTTTCTCCGAATTGAATTATTCTTCGAACAAGGCTCTTCGTTATCCCCCTCCTCAGCGTCGTTCCAGGCTGGTATTCTCGTCACTGACATTGCGTAGTTCAAAGAGCTCACCTAAAAGAATGCCTGAAAGAAATAAATAAGTCTACCCTACGGCGCGGGCGTAGCGTGTAATTGTGTAACTTTTTTTGACAACTACCTATAGATAGGTATTATTATAGTTGACCGTAATAGATATTACAATAAAGTTTTGGATTGACGCACGTTACGGGGTACCTATATATATGTATCATACTTTCAGGCGATGAGATTGAAAAAGCGACGGAGAAATTTGTTGTTTGGGACCTCTCGAAAAAAACATACCTGCGACGAATACTGCGGCAGTCTCGACAGACTTCCACCGAAAAATCGGTCGTCCCTGTCCATCAAATGCGCTGATACTGACGGTCTCCTCAGGCTGAC